CCCAGTCTTTCCCGGGCCTACTGGGATGTGGTGTTCCCTCCCTCCACTGCTACTAACAAGCCCTCTCCCATAGCACTGCCTAATCCCCCCGGCACTCCTGCACACTCATTCTCCAAGCTTTCGCTTTGAGAACGTGGGTGTGTGACTGATGGGCCCTGGAGAACAACTGTAACTTACTGGCATGCACAAGGTTCAAAAACCTTTTCCTGGTTTCCTGTGCAGACGTCTACAGAACAGTCTTTTCCCACCTAAGGAGATCAGACCCCTTCACAAACAGCCCCTTTCATCTAAAAAGCAGATAATGATCCTCTTTCCAGGCCAGAGAAGGTACCAAGGGGCTTCAGGAGGTTCGTGGAGAAGCGGAATGAATAGGTAAAGGCGCTTTCTCCAGGAACTCTCTGCAGCCACCTTGTCCCCCCTCAAGAGCCCCTCTGGTTTGAAGCTCTCTCTGCTCCATGGCTGTGGGGATGTGGCACGTGAGGGCATGCCTCACACCTCGGGGGACAGCCTCCCTCTGTAGCCCCTGCCGGCAATGGTAGTCCTCCCAGAATTTGCTCCTCCCTCCCTCCCTCCGTCATTGCAACCTCGATCCAGCGTGGACTCTGTAATTGCCAGCTTCCCACTTTTGTGTTTGGCTACCACTGCAAAAAGTCCAAGCCATGCCCCGCCCCTCTTCCTCTCCGATGGGTAGAAACCACAGCCTGTTGGTTTGCCTGAAAACCTTCATGCATCCAGTCCTTTCCCTTCTCCCTGCCACTGTTCCCGTCCCGGGCCCTTGTCTCAATAGTCTGCTGCCAGGTTTCCACTGCTCGGCACTCCACCTGAACACATGAACTGTCCTCAGTTTCCCTCAGGGATGCGGCTGTCCCAAATCTCGACTCCTCCAGGCAACCTCACTTCTGATTCCCAATGTCCCTCTGCCACAATCAAGCCCCCTCCTCTTCTCTCTTCCCATCCCCAGAATGCCTCTCCCTATCTCCATCCGAATCACACCCTAACCCACCTGGTGCTGTCCACAACTGAGCTCTCCTAGTTTTGCCAGCCCCCTCTCCCCACCTCCTCCAGCCCCCCTGGAACTCAGTTCCTATTGCTCTCAGTGTGTCCTGCACAGGATAGGACTGAACTGGACCTCACGGTGCCAACCCTGCTGCAGACAGTGCATCCTTTGAGATTGAGACTGGCTTCACGTCCCCGTGGAGAAGGTGGGACCTATGGACATGGGGATCCAGGGGGTAGGGAAGGGGCGGAAGAAGTTCAGGAGGAGCGCTGCTACAGGGACACAATCTCACCTGAGTGGGCTCCCCTCGGTCCATTTTGTCCCCTGTTCCCAGCTGCCCATATCTGTTATTTCCCTGCATGAAGATTCGGCCAAATTCATCCACCAGGCCAAAGTGGTTGTACCCAAGGGAGCAAAACAGGATCTAGGAGGTAGGATAGAGAGGAGAGGTGGGGACTGGGCTCCCTCCAGAGGAACTCTGGGCTCCAGAATCTCTCCCCACCCCTCACTTCCCATCCCAGGCCATGCCTTTGCCCTAGCCCTGTCCCTCCCTGGAGGATCTTCTGCTTCCTGCCTGTATTTCAGGCTCCAGGGACCTTCCAATCCCTAAAGCCCCTCCCCCTTCGGCCTGCCCGTCTCCCCAGGACCCTACCTTGGCAGGAAGTGAGAGAGCAAGCGGCATCTGCTGGTCCAGAGGGTCAAAGGCTTGAAGGGTCCCAAAGAGATCTCGATACACCCCCGGGGTATGTACCTCAAAATACACTCCCCCCTGGTCTGGGGGGTCAGAAGCCCTCAGCTCACCAGCTTTGGGCACCAGTTTCCTAGGGACAAGGCCTCACCTGGGCTGAGAGCTGCAAGATGCGGGGGTGTCTTATACCCATTAGAAACGTATCCACCCCATCTGGGGACCTGAGCCCCTCTTTTCATCAGGACACACTAAAGGTTTACCGCAGGGCAGGAAGCGGGGGAGGGGTGTCAATCTTTGGAGGGCTTATCCAAGGCTGGGTCTTGGCGGCACTGCGGGTTAAGTGTTGGACAGCTAACCACGAGGATAGTGCAGGACCCTGGGCTAGCAGCTCCTGTGAAGACTTGTAACCCTGGGAACCCCTAGGGCAGTGGTTCTCCACCTTCCTCACACCACGACCCTTTCATACAGCTCATGTGGTGGTGACCCGCCCCAACCATAACATTATTGTTGTTGCTACTTCATCCCTGTCATTTTGTTACTGTGATGAATTGGGTGACCCCTGTGAAAGGGTCGTTAGACCCCCAAAGGGGTCTCGACCCACAGGTTGAGAACTGCTGCCCTGGAGGGTCTCCAAGGGTTTGAAAGGCAGCAGGCTAGGGGTCTTGAGATGGGAGGCGCTTCCTACCTGTGATGTAGAGGGTGCTGCTCTGGTTGGAAGCCATGCAGGCCACACGCAGGTGAGGCAGGCAACGGGACATCTTCCTGAGGGCCAGTTGGACTGTGTAGGAACGTGGCTGGTCCAGCTGGGTTTCATTCACTACCAACGAGTAGATCTTGCCTTCCTCTGGGGCATGTGGGGAGGCAGATAGTTATGTGGGGAAGGTGGGGGGCTCCTTGTAAATCATACAGGACAAAATATTTATTGCCTGGACTGGAGTTGGAGCACAGAGGGATGAAAGAAAGGGACAGCGAGTGACCACGCGTTCCCAGATTTCAGTCCCTTACCACCAACAGCCAACGGGGAAGAGCAAACCCAGCAGATCTGAACGGATCCAGTGAGTGCTGGGAAGAATGGTGCTTGGGACGTCAGATCCCTACCTGGCATTAAGAAGACCAGACAGAGCCGGAGATTTGGCCAAGTTCAGAGGTACAGACTGGAAAATCAGGGAGCAGTTTGAGGTATAAACTGGGATGCCTGGGGAGATTTGAATTTTAAAAGCCAGGCATCCACTAGAGCAGTGGGCTCCACACTTTAATTTCTGGGCAGCAGGACTCTAGTTTCATATGAAATAGTAGGCAGAATCCTAGACCAGGAGACAGCTGAAAGCAGATCTCTCTGGATGGAACCAGGGTGAGGCAGCATGCAGAGTCCTGTGAGAGGCACCTCCCGCCCTTCTAGCAGGTTCCAGAGACACTGCAGGTAAGCACTGCTTCCAGCCCCACCTGTGAGGAGCAGCAGGGCCCGCTGAGTCTCCTGGCCAACCAGCACAATCTGTTTGAAGCTCATGGAGTAGTGGAAGGTCATCTTAAAGACACGCTGCCCGCTGGACTGCAAGTACACCTCCACGCAGTCACAGGTCCGGCTGCCAGTTGTGCCTACCATTCCCAGCTGCTCCCGAGTGGCCAACACATAGAGGTATTTACGGTAAACCGTGTCACATCTTGGGTCCGAGGCAAACTGTGGGAAGAGATATGGTGTCCTTGGGAGGGGATAAGGCTGGGGAGACAACATACTTGAGCCTGGGGTTGGGAAAGGAGGACTTGTTGACAGGTCCCTAGGGTGACAGGGCAGATGTTCTATGGGGACAGCCAGGGCTGGTTCCCTGGAGGAAGGCTGGGTTCTTAGCTGCCAGGGTTCTGCTGCTCACATCCTTAACTCCCCGACACAACACGACATAGCGGCAGGCCCGCTTCCACTGGATCTGGCCAAGGGTAGAGGACACGAGGGCATTTTTGAGGAAGAAGAGGGTCCCTGTATAGTCCAGAATGAAGACGTGGTCCTTGGTGGGCAAGAAGCGGCGGTAGCCATGGGCCAGCAGGGGTGCCACACTCTTGCTGAGACAGCGGCGGCGGCCTCCAAATGCCTGGAAATACAGGCCCTTCGTGTCTGCAGGAGGAAAGAGGACGGAAGGGTCAAGGCGTAGAGATGGCACACAGGGGATAGGCAGCGTTTGGGCAAACATTTTCCAGGACTGGGGAACAGATCCCTTCTAATAGAAAGTGGGCGATACCGCCCCCTGGGGGTGCAGGAACAATCCCATGGTGGGGGTGGGGGTGCGGGAGGCAGATCCCTCTGATTATCCTGGATTCTAAGCTGTTGCGCAAAAGTTTTTCATTGCCTGGGGGTGGGGTGGGGGTGGGGATGGAACTATTTTTTTTAAAGGTGGTGCAAATAACTTGGTCAAATAAACTTGGGAACTTTCGGCTTAGACAACCAAGCCAAGCCAAACCCCGACTCACAGCGCCCTTATAGGACAAGGCAGATCCGCCCCTGAGTTTCTGAGATAAGAGCTTTTTTTATGGGAGCAGAAAGTCTCTCCTTACTCCCTCACCACAACTCCTCAGCCTTTTGTGTTTTCCTAATTCTTTCTCCCAATGGCTCAACCGATACCCTGAATCAGAGCCTAGTCTGAGCTTTGGTTCTCCGCCCCACCTTAGCCAGAACCAGGGAGCCAGCCTTTGGTCTAATCCTTGAACAGGGACATAGGAGAAACATGAGGTCACCTACACAGACAAGTGGAACTGAAAAAGAATGACTAAGGCCAGCAGCCCTCCCTCACGCCCAGCTCCGCATCGGCTGTCTGCGTGGCCATCTTCCTCCCTCCTCTCCAGGACCGAGTGGGGTGCATTAGGGCTCCCTAGGAGGATAAGGGGTAGAGCTGGGCTCTCCACCTGAGGGGGATTTGGATCCTCAGGGGACACTGAGTTGCCCTCGCTGCCAGGAACACGTACATATCCTGTCATGCGCGGGGCAGCACCCAATATTCGTATGAAATATTCGGCCGAATCCTGGACCAGGAGACGGATAAAAGCAGATCTCTCTGGATGGAACAAGGGGAGGCGGCACGCAGAGTCCTGTCTGAGAGGTCTCCCTCCCTTCTAGCAGGTCCCCGAAACAATTTAGCCCCAAACATCAATTGTGGACCACTTGAACTTCAGAGAGCTGGGGTGGACTCCAGGTCTGGGGAGAAGGGGCACAAACCCTTGGTAAAGCACGACAGTTTGGATATGGAGGGCAACTTGGTCGATGCACTAGTGGACGGGGGCTCTGTGGGACGTGACTCAGAGTCCTCGGGTGGGTGAGTCTAACACGTTTCTTCCTGAGCAGAGAACCCTGGGAGGCTGGCTGAGAGGATGAGGTCATCACACAGCTTGACAGCGAGGGAGGGATCCCAGAGTAAGGGAGGGGAGAGGCAACAACGGGAGGTTCTGGGGAAAGTGTACAGTTAAGAATGGCAGCTCTCTTCCACGGCCGGACCCCAGAACCCTGCTGTCGTAGACGGGGGCTGAGCCTGAGACAGATGCGCCTCCACACGCCCTGGGCTTCGCACACGTGGTGGAAATATCGGCAGGTCTTGCCCAGGGCGACGACATCTCTGATGGGAAGGAAGGAGCTGATGTGCTCCACCTGGCGGGCGGGAGGGAGGAAACAGGGGTCCTTGGAGCGTCCTCGGTGCTCTGGCCCCCAGTCCTTTAGTCTCAGTTCTCGTTCTCCCGCCCTCCAGCCCCACCAAGACTCACCAGCTCTGGGGGGAGCAACTGGACAGAAAACGTGTTCCCTCTGTCCTTCTCTTCACCTCCAGGCTCTGGGCCACAGGTAGGGCAGCTCCGCTTCACCTACCCAAGGAGGAGGGGGAAGGGAGCCTTGTAGGGATTCCGCGAGGCTTAGGTCTCTTGCTTTCCCTTCTCTGCTTTTCACCAGCACCTCCCCGAGGCCCAGAGCTCCAACTTCCGGTCTTGAATTGTTCAACCAGTCCATCTTCCTCCAGGTCCACCAGTGGCCCTTCCCTGTCCGCCTTTCTTCCAGCTCCTCCAAATAAGGGCTCTCTGTGATCTCTTGCTGCCACCTCCCCTCTTCCCTGGCCTGTCCTCCTCACCCTGAGTCCCTCCTCCAGTCCTTGCAGCCTGGTCAACTTTTGCAGCTTCCGCCTCTTCCTTCTCCTCACCATCTTGATTGGCCCTTCCCTCATCTCTTCAGGCCTCTTGGGGCCCAGTATTCAGCTTCCTGGCTCCCATCCCTGCAGCCTTTCCCACACCATGTCCCCCTGCCGGGCTTGGAGGACCTCTGGGGCCTCTCTGCCTCCTAGACTCCTCCCCCCATGGAGTCTGGGGCAAACCAATCTCTCTGTGACCTCACTGTCCGGCCACTGTGACCTACTTTCCCCAACCTGGCCTGAGATTAGATCTCATAGACAGCTCCTGGGTTCTAGATGAGTGCTAGCCAACAATAGCTCACAGGTGTGCATTTCACCGAGGCAAGCAAGTGGGAGCGGGGCAGCTGTCCACCACGGAGCCTTTTCCTTTTCAGGAACTAGCAGGACGTTCTGCTGGAGGCCCTTTGAATACACTAACTCTGGAGAGAAACTCTAGTGAATTCTTCATAGGTACCAGTGACCACCTATCTCACCAAAGCATGCGACTCAGCACAGGCTCCTTAGTGCCCTGAAAAACACACCCAAAGCACATGTTTTCCTGGGACAGGACATCTTTGCACGGTGTGAAAGGGGCAGCCTCTTAAGGTGAGCGAAAGGAATAGATTGACTGTCTTCCTCTGAAAGCTTACAGCATCCCCTGGAGTCAGAGCTATCAACTTAAGCCTTAGGTGGGCTGACAGGTACGAGAAGAGAGAGTTGGGGGCTCTATCTGTAGAGGGAGGGGCAGAAGCCCTGTGGTGAGAAACCCAAGGAGCTGCTGACTTTTCCAGGGACTGAACGGAATCCAGGCCCCTTGGGACCACCAGCCCTCAGTGGCACAGTATCAGGGAAGCATTCCGTTACTGTGATAGGCTATTTGACTTTTGTCAGCCCGCCAAGCCAAACTTACTTATGGTGGCAAGTAAACAGCTAGGTTAGGATAACAAGGAAGAACTTTTCTTTAGGAACAGTAGCACCTGGGGTGACTGACAAGCAACTCTTGATGTCACTTTGAAGACTAAGGTGGGCCTGGCCCATAGGGGGCATTTTTAGCAGTGTCAAATACCTATGTGACAACCGGACCATGACTGCAGAAGACTTGATCTAACTGAATTATGGTGCTCACAAAGACTGCTGAAAGTACCAGGGACAGCCAGAAGAATGAATCTGTCTTGGAAGACCTGCAGCCTGAATACTACTTAGAAATGCTGCCGGTGAGACTGTTTAACTTTGGTCATCAGGAGGAATCTGTCCCCAAAGAAGGACATCGTGCTTGGGAGAGGTTCAGCAAAAACGAAAAAAGGAAGATCCTCAATGAGGTGGTTTGACAAACGCAGGAACTGTAGTGAGAATGGCGCAGGGTTTTGTTCAGTTGTCCCTAGGGTGGCTATGAGACAGAACCAGCCGGATGGCACCCAATTACGATACAGGTTAGCCGCAGTAGATTTTATTAAAAGGCCATTAGCATCTCAAAAGGACAGAAAAAAGTACTTTCTCCATCCACCTGTGTCCCCTTTCTCCCTTCCAGTCACCTCAGATGACGAGAGGTGGCTAATCGACAAAAGCCCATTGTCAAAGCTGATGACATGGGAAAGGGCCTGGCATCAAGGATAAGAATCCTGGCTCCTAGCACCTTGCAATTTGCTCTGCCAACTCGGCTCCCCTCCGTCTAGGTTCCTCACATGTAACACGAGGACCGCCTTCTAGATAAGGTCCTTGCTAGGCGCCCCAACGCTACGATCTTGCCCGTTTGCTGGCCAGGGCCAGCGGCGAGGGGCGCGCCTGGGCTAGGCTGGCAGGTGGGGCGGAAGCCTGCCCCAACCGGTCCGGCCTTACCCACCCATTTGAGGCTTTCCCAGTCTCTCCCAGCCCTCCACCGACACCCTCCCCCAAGGCGGGCATCCCCACTCTTTGGGCCGCCAAGTTGCTTTCGGCGACAGCAACGCTCCTGCGCCCAGGTCCCCTCGCTGGCTTGCACCCTAATTCCAGCTCCAGCGCGGCTCACAGCGGGTCCAGACTGCGGCGCCCTCGCATTCTGTGCTACAGTCTCAAAGTTCTAGCTCACCCGCCGCCTCCTGAGCGAAGGGACCGCCTCCTCGCCCATCCTATTTGGTAAGTGGAGCCGTCCCTCGGCGCAGAGGCCAGCTTCCCTTGGGAGGACCTAATTGGCCGCCTTGGCAGTCACTCGCCTGTATCTGGCTTGCGATTGGTCTGAGCGGGTCGAGGCCTCGGTTCTCCCGGCTGGGGCTCTCCTCTCGCGCTCTCGGCCTTCTAGTGCAGAGCCGACGTTCCCGCCTCCCGGTTGGATCTGATTGGCTCCAACTCCAACTCTAAGCCTTGTGATTGGCTGTCGCTGCTCCGGGTGGGTCAGGCCGGAGCTTCAGCCGTTGACGGGCGCTCTGTTCGCGCACCCCTCCCCTGCCCTCGCCGCCCTCCGGCGCTAGCCTCGCTGCCTGCTCGGCCCGCCCCCCAGCAGGTTCTGATTCGCTTCTTCTGACGCGTCTCGGGACCCCGATTGGTCCGCTGGGTCCCAGAGCCGCTTCCCACCCCCTCGCAGTGACTACGGCGGCCCTGAGGGGGGAGAAGGGGCCCCGGCTGGACGGCCGGTCGCATCAGTCAGGCAGCGGAAGCCGCCGGGAGCGGATGGCGGTGGCGGTGGCGGCCGCCCTCGCTGCCGGGGCGGAGGAGTCGGCAGCCGCGACCTCCGTTCCTGGGTCCCCGGGTCTGCCTGGGAGTCGCAGTGCGGAGCGGGCCCTGGAGGAGGCCGTGGCCACGGGGACCTTGAACTTGGCAAACCGGCGCCTGAAACAGTTCCCCCGGGGCGCGGCCCGCAGCTACGACCTGTCAGACATCACCCAGGCCGGTGAGTGGTCCAGACCCCCAGCCCGAGGAACCTCATTTGCATGGCCCCGCCCCCGTGGGTTTCGCTTTCAGCCTGGGCCTGCTCCTTTACCTGGCCAGCGGGTCTAGGGACCCTTATTTGCTTTAGTCTGCTGCCCCCCAACACCCCACTTGCTGAATTCCTGGACAATGGAGGCGCTCCTCCTGGGCCCCAAATGCCAGCGTTCTCTGCGACCTGCAGGACACTCCGTTGTAGTTCATTTGCATATCAGCGCACCTGTAGATCGGCCCCGCCCCTCACCTGTTGGCTTATTTACATGGCCTCTTCACCCTCCCTGGGATTCTTACCCTAATACGAACCCCTGGAGTTTCTCGCCAATTTTCTCCTTCGCCTTATCGTGCCCAGCCCTTCCCGGGCCACCCAGATCCGAGCCACCCCAGCTGCCGCCTTCCCCAGGATTTGCCCGCGACCACCTCAGAACCCCGGATGGTTCTGGTTACTTGGCCGCTGATTCCACCGCCCCGCCCCGCCCTATCAGGGGTTCCGCGCTCTCCACCCCTGACCTGCCAGCCCCCGAGCCAGCTGCCCAGCCCCTACCTCTCCCCACTCCTCTTCCGGAAGCCGCTGTTCTTCATCTTCCTCACTCCCTGATCCGTGAGGCTCCTCCTTCCTGTGGGTGTGAAGTCACTATGGAGCTTGTGACCTCAGAGGGACCCCTCGAATGCGCCTTCCAGCTTCTGCTTTCCCCAGAGGGAGGGACTCAAGCGGGTGCTGGGAAGCAGGAAATCTTATCTCAACTGGGAGCGCTGGGGACTGGCCTTTCACACCCTCCTCCGGGACTCAGAGGGCTCCCCCCCAGCTTCAGCTGCTCGGGAGGCAGGCAGCTGCAGGGCAGAGGAGGGGAGGAGGGCCACATGCCTACCCCCCCCCCCCATCAGCCCAGAGGGTGAAGATGCGCAGAGGGTAAAGATGCCTCCAAGGTGGGGGTCTTGGAGCTGAATACAGTGTCTCCCTTTGGGGATGCTGTCAGGTCGCCCATTTCTCCCCAAGCAGGTGCCTGCTCCCCTGCACGCACAGGCTGGCACACACCCACTTCCTTTCTTTGGGGGAGGCCGAGCCAAACCCTCTCCTTGTTTCTTGGGGTATGAGGGAGACCAACTTGCTCCCTGGGTTGTGAGTGCTTTCAGCAGTGGGAGAGCTCCCAGGATCCCTGGAGGCAGCTCCAGATTGACCTTGGCAGCTGTGTGACACTCTGTCCTCTGTCCCCTCCTCCAAACTTGTTCTCCGACAAAGACCAAATGTTATGCTTCCCTTCCTTGGGGCTCTGTCTCTGGGAGGGGACCCATGGGGAAGGCTCCCAAGACTCTCCGGCCCTCCCCCAGCATTCCAGCTCAGGGTGCAGCCATTTCGCTGTTGAGCTTGGGTGCACCGCACAGGAACCTTCCGTCCCAGGCCCCCGGCTCCAGACCCAGTTGGGTCCATCTTGTCCAGAACTCTCTTCTCTGCCTCCCCTGCCCAAGCAGGGTGCTTTTAGGCTGGGGAGTAAAGGGGAAGTGACAGAAGAAAAAAAACACAAACCAAGAACAACACTGTTCATTCCCTGCCCTCCACACCCCCTGGCACCCCCATCTGGATGAAAAGCTTGGGTGCTCTACTTCCTGAATCATTTTGCGTCCTCTCTCCTCCTGCTTCCCCGGTGCTTTCTGAACCAGCGTCTTCCCTGGCATGTCTGCCTGGCTCAGGTGCTTCCCTTAGACTCTCCTCTTGGGCCCCGTAGTTGGAAGGATCCTGAGGTGGGGGGAGGGGCCACCAGCAAAGGAGAAGTACAGCGCATTCTCTCACCGACCACATCCTGTACCTCCTATGCCCAGGCCACCGCCAGCCGGGGCTCCTTGCTGCTCCTAGCGTCTGGCCCCTCATGACCTGTTTGCCATCCACTTCATCCACATGCCCACACATTGGTGGACACACGGGCAGGCAGGCTGGAGAGAGTTCTCTGGAACTGCTTTGTGCCATGCCAGGTCATCTGTGTACCCCAGGTTTGGGGCAGAGAGGGGGAGAGCGAATTCTTGGGGCAGCAGTCATCATCTCTCTGGGTAAACATAAGGGGCCCCCCAGAGGCAGAGACTGACAGATGGCTTCTACTTCACTTCCTGTCACAGGACTCAGTTCCTTGGGGGACATACCCAAGCTCGCTCTCTCCCTGAGCCTTTTGCTTACCCCTCCCAGGGGAGGGCTCTCTGAGAAGCTCACGCCAGGTCTGTTGCTTGAGACTGGCTGCAGCAGACCCTGGACTCCTCCCAGCAGAGGCTGAGCAGAAGACCGAGAAACGCAGGCTTCTGGAAGTCTGAACTGATAGTGGGCCACGCTTTGCATTGGAGTAGCAAGCTGAGGAAACAGCTTGGGGGTGGGGGTGCTAGATCTCACTCCTCGGTCTCCCCAAGCCGATTGCCACAGGCAGACATGCCCCACCCCACCCACTTCTTTTTACCCTCTTCCGACACCAGCAGTCGCCCACAGCACCCTCCTCCTGCCCCTGGGTCTGGTCACTCGTTGCAGTGACCCCACGACTCACAGACAACACGCACACACAGGTTACCATTCAGGTGAGAAATGCTCAGGTAGCAGTGTTCAGTCAGGATGGTGTTTTCTCTGCCGGCCCCCAGGCAGGCCTCTTTTGCCCCTCAGCCGCGTGGCCTCTGCCCTCCTTGGGCCATGGTCCTGAGTTCATTTAGGACTGCCAGTAGATGCTCAAAATGGCAAACCTCACCCCAAAGGCACCCAGCTTTAGCTCCGTGGGTGAGCAAGCCCAGCTCCCCAAATTCAGTGTTCAGAGGCACCCCACCCCACAAGCCAGCCTCCTGCCCCTCAGCATCACCTGCTCTGTGGCTGGGAAGTCCACCTTCTGTCTCAAGCTCTGGCTCCTGGTCTGCTGCTGCTTTTCTGCACCTATCGTCTGGTGTCCCAGCTGTCTCCTGGTTCCTGGAGTTTCAGTGCATGGGGATCTCAGGTCTGAAGGACGTGCCCTGCTCCCGGCTGTTCTCTCTCGCTGGCAATGAAATTTCCACCACCCTCCCATCTGAAATGGCAGGCTTTATACCCAGCAGGAAGGCAGTCACAATTAACACGGTTAGCAATCACGGCTGAATCCCATATTCTAATCAGTGTCTTCCCCCACCTAACCCAGGCTCACCTGGAAAATGCAGGTCATTTGGTGAGAGTAGCAAAGGCTTATTGTGGCTAGGTACTGGCTGGCAAGTCAGTTCCGGTTCCGACACATAGCAGCCCCACGTGTAGCCGAATGAAATGCCGCCGCCGTCCCGTGCCTCCCTCACAACTGTTCTTAAACTTTGAGCCCATTGTTGCAGCCACAGTCTTCTCTTGTTGAGGGTCTTCCTCTTTTTCGTTCCTCTTGTACTTGACCTGGCATGTTGTCCTTTTCTAGGAACTCGTCGCTCTTGATAACACGCCTAAAGGACGTGAGACCAAGTCTCTCTTGCCATCCTTGCCTCAAAGGAGCATCCTGGCGATACTTGTTCCAAGACAGTTCTTTGTTTTCTGTGCAGTGCATGGGACTTAGAGTATTCTGTGCCAGCACCATAGTTCAGATGTATTGATTATTCTTCAGTCTTCCCTACTCAGTGTCCAAGTTTCACATGCAGAGGAGCTATTGAAAATACCATGGCCTGGGCCAGGTGCACCAGAACCCTCGGAGTAATCTCCTTGCTTTTCAACACCAGAAGTCTTGTGCAGCAGATTGACCCAATGCCATGTGTCGGTAGCAGAGGCTTAGAAGAGCCTTATTAAGTAATTCACTGCATTGCACAAGCTGTGCTTTGAGTTAAAGGGTGAATAAGTCTTACTGTGGTTGTTGACCACAAAATTGGCAGTTCGAATCTACTCCATGGGAGAGAGATGAGGCTGCCAACTCCTGTAAACGATTTACAGCCTTGGAAACCCTGTGTAGTTTGGCTGAGTCAGAATGGACTCGATGACCGTGGGTTGGGTATTGGCCACGCCTCACCGGCGCCCAGGATGCTGGCAAAAGATCGAAGCCTCGAAGCCCGGCTGACGAAGGAAGGAAGGCAAGGGCAGCCAGTGGTACCTGAGGAGGACAGGAGAAGGGGACACCAGGTGGGAGGGGCCGGAGGACTCCAGGCCCCCACTGCCATCTCTGTTGCCCTTTTCCCTCCCTCACCGCCCTTGGCGGTCTGTTACCTCCGTGCCCCTTGGCCCTGCCTTGCTGTCCTCAGGACTGGTGTCAGTCTTGCGCCCCTTCATCTCTAGAACTAGGGTATGGTGACCCTGGTCCCCCTGCCTCTCCCCCATGGCAGGTTACTGTTGGGAGGGGGAGTCCCTGGGGGGGGGTTTCCTAATGGGTCCCCCCAGGGTTTTTCCAGCGCCTCTCTCTGCGCTTCCTAGGCCTTCCCTGCGGTGTGCTCCCGAGCACCTGCCGGTTGCCTTCCCTCTCCTGCCTTTCTGAGCTGCGCCGGCTCCCGTCCAGGGGCCCTTCACTCGTGTACTTGGGGATGGTGGTCATGGCTCTCCCCACGTCCAGGCTGCAGCCCTCACTCTGACTCACTCACTCACCATCAGCTAGTCCACTCTGACTCATGGTGGCCCTACGGGACAGCCGAACTCTGCCTGGGGATCGGTCCCGGGACTCTCAGGGCACGCTTGGAATGTGCTGCCGATTGCTGATGTCTTGGAGATCTTCCAGGGGCACCAGGCCGGATGCCCTAGGGCTGCTGAGGTGGAGGGGACTGAGGACTGGGCAGCTGGCTCTGGGGACGTCCAAGGGCCTGCTGTTCCCGACTGGGCCTTTCCCCAGCTCCCCCCTGACACTTGTTTCTAGACCTGTCTCGGAACCGGTTCCCGGAGGTGCCCGAGGCAGCCTGCCAGCTGGTGTCCCTAGAGGGTCTGAGCCTCTACCACAACTGCTTGAGATGCCTGAACCCAGCCTTGGGGAATCTCACAGCCCTCACCTACCTCAACCTCAGGTAGTAGAGGCAGGGGTCAGGGTGGGGGGACGGGCCCTTGATGCTCAGTACCCTGAGTGACACTCCCTGTGGCCTTGGGACCCTGGGCCTGGAGAGTGAGCCGCCTGCCTTCCTCTCTTCCGCAGCCGAAACCAGCTGTCATTGCTGCCACCTTACATCTGTCAGCTGCCCCTTCGGGTGCTCATTATCAGCAACAACAAGTTGGGAGCCCTGCCCCCAGACATCGGGGCCCTGGGAAGCCTTCGGCAGCTTGTGAGAAGCGGGACTGTTGAGCCAGGCCCCAAGGACATGGAGGGTGGGGTGGAAGGAGCAAGGGTGAGCCCTAGGGGAAAAGACAGAGGGCTGGACGGGAGGGCTGCTCTGATGGTCCTGGTCTCAGGCTCCTTCCCCATCACAGGATGTGAGCAGCAATGCCTTGCAGTCTCTCCCCCCGGAGCTGTGCAGCCTGCCTTCCCTGCGGGACCTCAGCGTGCGGAAAAACCAGCTCAGCGTCCTGCCCGATGGTGAGGGAAGCCGAGGGTGGGGAGGTTGGCAAGGCATGGGCGACTCCCTCCAGGGGCCCAGGAAGAGGGGGGGCTCAGAAGGACTCTCAGGTCCTCCAGGATCAGATCTGGTGTGGGTGTGGGTGGGGGGATGGCAGGTACCCAGTCCTCCTCCCTCAAACCCACTGCCATGAAGTCGATGCCAACTCAGTGCCCTGTAGACAGAATGGAACTGCCCCTGAGGGTTCCCGACCCTGTGCATCTTGATGGGCGCAGACAGCCTCCTCTTGCTGGCGAGGAGCACCTGTGAGCTGAACTGCTTACTGCAGGGTAGCCTGCTGCACCACCAGGCCCCCCCACAGAGTCAGAATCCCCGGGCCCTGGCTCGGCCAAGCAGCCCCCTGTAATGAGCACACCCCCACGTTGGGGCCTCTGCTCTGTGCAGGCACCCTTCGCTGGCTCAGCCAGCGTGCTCGCTGGTTCTTTCGGCTCGCCTCTTTCTTGATTGTGAGGCACCCTGGTGAAGTAGTGGTTAGCGTTGGGAAGTCAGTCGTTTGACACTGTTGGCTGCTCTACGGGAGAAAGACCAGGTGGGACAGCGAAGTGGAAAGGGGTGGAGCCGATCACCAAGGCGGGGGGTGGGGAAGCACCCAGGAGAGGCTGACCCCAAACTCCCTGCGGGCTGGTGGGGACCCTGTGGCTTGGAAGGAGGACTAGGCCTGCTTGGGCAGTGAGTTGGGGCCGGCAGTGCAGAGAGGCTGCAGTGAGCCCCACGAGCCTGAGCAGAGGTGGAGGAAGTGACCACAGCGACCATCCTGGGGGCTGTTCCTGACTCTACCCTTTCCTGCCCCACCCCCGCCCCCCAGAGCTGGGGGACCTTCCTCTTGTCCGTCTGGATTTCTCCTGTAACCGTGTCTCCCGAATCCCGGTCTCCTTCTGCCGCCTCAGGCACCTGCAGGTCATTCTGCTGGACAGCAACCCCCTGCAGAGCCCCCCTGCTCAGGTGAGGGAGCAGAGGACAGTGGGGACAGGGTGGTAGGAATGGGGGATGAGTCCCTTTGGCAGCCCAACAGGATGTGGGACCCTCCTCTTTGGTCCGCCTGAACCTCGACATGTGCCACCCGACCCCCAGATCTGCCTGAAAGGGAAACTTCACATCTTCAAGTACTTGTCGACAGAGGCAGGGCGGCGCGGGGGCGCTGCGCTGGGAGACCTGGCTCCCTCTCGCCCTCCAAGTTTCAGTCCCTGGTAAGTCCCAAGTGGGAAGGAAGGACGATCCTCCTGGGACCCTGGGACATCCTGGTTTTCGTTGGGTGGCTGGGGTGAGGCTGGAGTGCCGTGTGGGGCTGACCAGGCTTCTTGGTTGCCCAGCCCTGCGGAGGACCTATTCCCTGGACGCCGGTACGATGGTGGGCTGGACTCGGGCTTCCACAGTGTTGACAGTGGCAGCAAGAGATGGTCTGGAAATGAGGTAAGGCCTTCCCTCCGAGAGCCCTTTGCTTGGCACCCCTGAGGCTTGGAGAGATAGTGGCCAGGGCTGTCCTTGGCCAGGGTCCCGCAGAAGAGCTAGTCCCATGCATTGGCTCGTAGGCCTATCCCCAGTCGATCTTCAGCACTGCAGGGCTGTCTCTGATGGCCTCATCTCTGCTTTATAGTCTACAGATGAATTTTCTGAGTTGTCATTCCGGATCTCAGAGCTGGCCCGGGAGCCTCGGGGGCCCAGGGAACGGAGGGAGGATGGCCTTGGTGAGTGGTGGGCGTTGGGGCTGGTGGGGGCAAATGAGGGGGTCATAGCCCCCATCTGCTTGCTGAATGACCCGGCCCCACTAGCTGATGGAGACCCTGAGCAGATCGACTTCATCGACAGCCACGTGCCTGGGGAGGAAGACGACCGGGGTGTTGCCGAGGTGAGAGATCGGCCGGCTGGAGGGAGTGGTGCAGGCCTGGCCTGGTCAGTGAACAGACACTCCCTCAACCTCTCCCTGTTCTTTCTTCAGGAGCAGCGGCCTCCAGAGGCAAGCCCTGGGGCAGGGGACGGGGAGAAGGCACCAAGCAACAGGTAGCTCTGAGCCACGTCCTCCCTTTGCTCCCAGGACCCCTTGGCCCTCTCTGGGTTCCCCTGATCCAGGTCCGGGTGACCTCTGTGGGCCTGTCTTTGCCCATCAGGCGGGAGGAGCCAGCAGGAGAGGAGCGGCGGCGACCAGATACCTTGCAACTGTGGCAGGAGCGGGAGCGGCGCCAGCAGCAGCAGCAGCAGCAGAGTGGCGCGTGGGGGACCCCCAGGAAGGACAGGTATGGCCACAGAGCAGGTTGGGGCCATGGCAGGGCCATAGGCCCTGGTGGGCTAGACAGTGCCCGCCCTGTGCTACGCTGGCTGGCTCTGCCCTAGCCCTGCTGACTCCACCCTCCTCTTTCTTCTTCCAGTTCTCTGAAGCCGGGCATCAGGGCTACTGCCGGAGGTCCGTCTGCCCTGCCCGCTCAGACCACCTCCAGGTATGCTTCCTCCCAGAGCCCTGCCCCCTATGGTCCTCCTGCAGCCTCCTGACCCTTCTGATTCTCAGTTTCTTCCCACAGCGGCTCGCCCAAGGCCGGCGCCACCCAGGCGGGGGCCCTAGGGGGCCCAAGGGCTGCTGCTTCTGTCCCTACCTGCCAGGAGGCTCCTCCTAGAGCTGTACCAGGTGGGACAGGGACTTTGGGGTCCAGGATGGGAGTACATGGAGGTGAGGGAGTGGTTGGGACACTGCAGGCATTTCTCTGACTGGCCCTGTCTCCTGGCTCTGGCCCCAGCCACAGCGCCTGCTCCCCGGCCACTTGGCTCCATTCAGAGACCAAACAGCTTCCTCTTCCGCTCATCCTCTCAGGGCAGCTCAGGTGGGTCTCCCTCCTCCCACCCACACCAGGTCTGTTCCTCTCCCAGAATGCCAGTGAAAACCCTGGGCTTGTCACCTGGTTGGGTTGGAAGTCCCACAGGCAGAGAAGCAGGAGTCCTGGGGCCCAGACTCCTGGCACGAGCTCTGCCTGGGACGCAGCGTTGTGGACATGGTCACGTGCCTGCTCTTTTCTCCTAGGCCCGTCCTCCCCTGAGGCTCTCTTGAAACCTCGGCGGTCCCCCCAGGTTCTGGACGAGAAGGAATTAATGGCCCAACTGCGCCAGGTAAGGCAGCAGGTGGGTGGGGCAGGACCTGGGTGCACACCTTCTCAAGTTCCCTGAGCAGGGAACTCGAGCCTCTTGAACTCTTCCTACACCCTAGCACGCCCCCTGAGGTGGAAGGGGCAGCCAGGAGAGCTTTCTGATGTTGCCTATCACCCTGGCTCTGCCTCCCAGGTCCTTGAGTCCCGGCTGCAACGGCCCCTGCCTGAAGACCTGTCAGAAGCTCTGGCCAATGGGGTCATCCTGTGTCAGCTGGCCAACCAGCTCTGGCCCCGCTCTGTGCCCTTCATTCATGTGCCCTCGCCTGCTGTGGTCAGTTGAGGCCCAGGGGAGGAAGCTGGGGGAGGGACCAGGGCCCCTCGCGGCCTCTCCTCCCCTTCTTCTCATTTTCTCCTCTTGTCCACCTCCACCCCCCAGCCAAAACTCAGTGCGCTCAAGTCTCGGAAGAATGTGGAGAGTTTCTTAGAAGCCTGTCGAAAGATGGGGATTCCAGAGGTATGGGCCGGGGCTGGTCCCAGGAGCGCCCGGGGCCTGGGAATCCACTGAGCACTTTGCATGGATGGTAGCTTCCCCCCCAGGAGAAAGCCCCCAGCCCGCCTTCCCTGCATGTCTGCATGTCATCCTGGCTCTGGCCCTGCCTGCATGTCCCTTCCCTGCATGTCTGCATGTCATCTGGCCCTGGCCCTGGCCCTGGCCCCTGAGGGCAGGCAGGGGTGGGCAGGGAGGGCTGTCTTATTGTGTCGCTGCTGCTGCTGCTGACTGCCTTTTGTCCTTGTCCATTTGTTACTCTCCCTCCCCAGGCTGACCTGTGCTCGCCCTCAGACCTCCTCCAGGGCACCGCCCAGGGGCTGCGGACCCCACTGGAGGCTGTGCGGCGGTTGGGGGGCAGGGCCCCGCCACCCCTCTGGCCGCCTCCCGGTCTGCGTGGCTTCATCCTCTTCTACGTGGCCCTCGCGCTGCTGTTCTATGTCACCTACACTCGGCTCCTGGGTCCCTAGGATCTGATGTCACCCCTCCCCTGGCCCTACTTCTATTTATGACTCCCTTGCAGTCACCCCCAGACCCCACCTCCCCCTCCCTCCCCACCAGAGGTGCCTTCAATCCTTACCAAAGACACTAGGATACCCCTGGATAAACACTGACCTCAGAGGCCCCACTCCGGGACCCCTAGACCCTGGCACTCCAGCCTCTGGCCGCCCTCCCGTAGGCCCTCTGTGGGGCCCCCCATTTCCTCCTGATGGTGCCTTCGTGCTCTCCCCCTGCCCCTTTACCTTGTCCCACCCCGCAGGGCTGGCAGGAATGGAGTCTTTCCCCTCCCCACTTCCCTGGGGGCTAAATTATCTATCTTTTGTAGAGAGAATTCTATATTTGTAGGGGATGTGGGCCCCAAGCCGGGGCCTCATCTGTGTATAAACTGTACAGACTGTGCCACTTGTGTGTGTATGTATGTATGTATGTATGTGTGTGTGTGTGTGTGTGTGTTCATCTGCTCCTGCTGTGGCCCAGCCCGGGCCGTGGCTTGTGTGCCGCTTGGGCATGTCCCTCTGGAGGTGACAGGCCTCTCAGGCCGGAGCCCCTGTGTCATCTCTGCTGTTATCCGTTGGCAGCTTCCTTGCTTCCCATTTGTACCCAAGCTGTGGGCCCACAGTATCTACCAGGGGTGCCCTGTCCATCATCGCCCTGTCCCCTGAGGGGCCATCCCCTCACTGGCTCTGTCCAGGCTCCCTTAGGGGCCTTGCCCTGTGCCAGGGGTAGGGGAGTGAACAGGGACTGGGACAAGAGGTAATTTAACCTGGGCCCCTCCCCCCAGGAGTCCCTGTGCCAGCCCCACCACATCCTGGAAGAGGAGGGGGCCCCAGGAAGGGGTCTCCCCCACATCGCTGCTGTGGTCCACGCGCTGCTGGAACGGCCTTAGGGTTGAGCTGGGGGCACAGGTGCCAGCCCCAAGGTGTGAGCCCCGGAGTCGAAGATGGCCAAAGCCTAGCCGCCATCCCTTGCAAGGAGGACTGCAGTGGCGCTGCGGCTCGGGGCCCTGCCTGAAGGAACCCGGCTGCTCTGGGTGTGGCGGAGGGGCTGGGATGGACGCCAGGGCTGCGGAGTTGTGTCTGTCAAGCGCAATAAAGAAGCCGGAAGATCACTTGATTGACGCCCTCCAGGTGTGTGCGTATGTGTGTGTGTGTCTGAGTGAACCCAGGCCTGGCATCGCCCGCCGGAAATGGGCCTGCGCAGCCCAGCGGCCTCCAATCAGGGCAGCGCCGTGCCGCCCCGCCGCCAGGCGGGGCAGCGCTCGGGCCGCGAGGGAAGGTGGGTGGGCTGGGGGCCACGAGGCGAGGCACTGGACAGCTGGAGAGGTGCTGCCCGGCGCCAGACTCAGCATGTGGCCCCAGCGGCCTCCGCGGTGGGAGGAGGACGCGCCCGAGGAAGACAGGCCCCAGAGGGTCCCGTGGTCGGGGTGGGACTCGCCGCGGAGGGCCTTGCCGGAGGAGGAGTGCCCCCACCGCGTGCCCGAGGGGCGTCCCCACCGCTCCCCGGAGAGCCACGAGTGGGACGAGGAGACCTGGGTCACTCCGGAGCGGGAGCTGACGCCGTCGGCGACGGAGGAGTCAGATGAAGAGCCATTGATAGGGCGTTTGGCCCAGCGCCGGGCTCTTCCTGTGAGCGAGAGGTCAGTCGGTCGGTCGGACATCCTATTGGGGGGCTTCAGTGCCTTGGCCCTGGGGGAGTCGCCGAGGGTGTGAAGTCATCCTCGAACTAGGCAACCTTTGGCTCAGCCGCTGAGCTCAAGGACACAGCCTGCCCTGGAGGGAGACGGCAACGGGGATGGTGGGGACGGACCAACCATCTCTACCCCCCTCCTCCCTACAGGCCTGCGCGCCGGATCTGCGTTTGTTGCCAGAGTGTTCCCCCCACCTCGCCCAGCCCCGCGCCCAGCCCTGCTCCCAGCACCGCGCGCAGTACTGCCCCCAGTAGGCCCCAAAGCCAGGCTGCGGCTGCGGGTCAGCCCCCAAGAACCTCAGGTAGGTACAGGGCCTTGTCTTCCCACAGCCTCCAAACCTTATCGTTGACTTCTGAGTCTGATTTCATTTCTTTAACCAGCACCCCGCTCCGCCTCGACCAGCCCAGAAATACCCCCTAAAAGAAGGACACTAGAACCCTGGCACCCCAAATATAAAGTTAAGGCGAGATTTCAGGTAAGGGTAAGTGGGGGTGCCCTGTGACTCCTCCTTCGGGGCAGGACAGCCCTGGAAAGAGCTGGGCCGCCAGTGAGCTTTCCTGCTGTTTTGTAGAGGCGCGGTGGCGGCGGCTTCTCAACCCCAGCTTCCAGCCGTACCATGAGTCACCCATCGTTCATGGCGTTGTATGCGGCAGCTGCCCGAAGGGGCCTGGGTTCCTCTGCTCCCACCCCGGCGCCCACAGCAGAGCTGCAACGTGGTGAGCTCAGGGAAGCAGGTACCTCCCTGAGCTCCTCAGCGAACCCGGCGGTTCCCTTTGGGCCCACACAGCTTGGTGCCCGCGGCCTGGAGACCCACCAACCTGGTCCTCAGGGCGAGACGGTGTATCCCAGTTCAGAGTCCCCCTGGGGCTTCCCTGCATTGTCCCCTCAAGAGATCTTTCTTTCAGACTCTCTTCTGCCCCCGACGGAAGCAGGAACTTCCTTGGGCACGGGGGCTCCCCTTGGGCCCGCAGAGCTCAGTGCCCCTGGCTCTGAGACCCACCAGCATCCCAGCTCAGGGCCCCTCTCGAGGTTTCCTGTTCTGTCCTCTCTGCTGTCCCAGACAAGCCGTATCCACATGCGCCTAGCCAGGCCGATTTATCAGATAATGGCCCCGCTGCGCCTGGTGGCTCCTCCTCCCATCATGACCTCCTGGGTCATCCCCAGGCCGTCCCCTGGCTGCTCCTCCGCCTGGCTCAGTGGGCCTGAGGTGACCGCCGTCACTGGCCTCATGCACATGGGCCAACAGAGGGCAGGACCCAGCGCTTCATCCAATCAGCCCCCCTTGTCTTCCTCCCCTGATGGATCCGAGGATTCAGAAACCACGTGTGGCCCCAGCTGCCAGCACACCCTAAACCCACCTCGCCCACCTCTCTCAAGTACCCCAGAGCCCCGCTCCTCACCTCTCTCAAGGACCCCAGACCCCCATTCCCCACTTCTCTCAAGCAGTCCAGAGCTCCATCCCCCATCTCGCCCAAGCCCCCATTTACCATAGCCACTCTGGGGTAGAGTGCGCCCTCCAGAAGTTGTGTTCACATTAAAGCAGTATTGGTTTGCACAGGGGCGTCCTGTGTCTGCTGGTGCAGTACAGTCTCCCTCCACACCCCGTTGGCGACTCTTCCTCCGAATCCTGGATACTCCAGGCCATTCCCTCCAGTGGGCTGGGCCACCCGAGACCGAAGCCCTACCCAGGCTAACGAAGCAGGAGGCCTGAGTGGGAGCTGGGAGGCCACCTTGCAGACTCCTACTAGACTGAGGATCCAGCCCGGCCCTGGAGGAAGAAGGGTTGCGGGGGCACGTGGCTGGCATGGGGAGAGGACGACTAGGGGGTAAAGGGGCACCAATGATAGCTGGTGCTAGCACTCTTAGGCCAGGGCCACCAAAGGTCAGTCTGGGGGTTGCCGAGGGGGTGGATTGAGGAGAAAGATGAGGCTTTCTACTCCCATCAAGAGTTAGTCTCAGAAACTCACAGGGGCAATTCTCCCCTGTCTTACAGGGTCACTATGAGTCAGCATCCACTGGATGGCTGAGTTTACTTTTTTGAGGATTGGACTGGGAGTAGCACTTTGGCCCAGAGAAGCATAGTAAGGTGCTACAGCTGTGGATGGGTGGGTGTGCAGGCCCACCTGGAGCCTGGAAGCGCCGGGAGGACCTGAGGTTCTCCATGAAGCTACACCAGCTTTACAGGGAAATGGATGAGGGAGGCTTCTGCTAAGACAGCTTAGAAGTTTGTAGGGAGGCCACCTAAAGGGCTCCTCATTGCCTGAGTCAGCCCCGACTTACAGTGATCCTACGGGACAGGGTAGAACTGCCTCTGTGGGTACTTACTGGGTAGCCTCCCAGGTTCCACATCTGGACGGACAGTTGCAGGTCACCTGAGTCCCACCACCATAGAATGTGGGGCGGGTAGTAGAGGGAGCAGGCAGGGTCTTCTGGGGTCTTTTTCCTTTTTCTGCAAAGACCCAGGCATGTAAGTTCCCATACCTATGCCTCTGGCTTGTGCAGGGTCTTGGGGGTCCCTAGTCAGGCCGTGTCATAGGCAGGGTGCCTGGGAAGGGATGGCTCTTCTAGGAGCAGAGGGCTGTAGAACTGGGTGCTCTGAGGCAACGCCCAGGCCCCAGGCAACTCTGCAGTGACTGCGTCTGAGAACTGAAAGTAACCTTCTGTTTAGACCCTTCTATTTGAGCTTGGTTTCTGTGAGCCAGGAGTGGGCAAACCACAAGGGCACCCCCTCACCCCTGGCAGCCCCATTTGGCCCACCTAGACTCCAGCCTCCGGCAGGGCACCTGCCTTGCCCTGGCTGGAGGCAGCCAGGGCGGGGATGGGAGGGGCACAGGGGCTGCCCTGCCCCTAGCCATGCAACTTTGGGGTTGGCACAAAGTGGCGGGACTTCTGCTTCCTGTGGCGGCTACAAAACAGACGGGAGGGGACTGGAGCTGGACGTTGGGGTCACCACCGAGGGTGGGTCCGAGCGAGGCAGAAGTGGAGCAGCCGGGGGCCAGATGGAAGCGGGATACAGGCTGTGGTCTCTGCGGAGGCAGACGGCATCCCCACAGGCTGGGGTCCTCCTTGGTTCCAAGTGTCTCACTGCTTTCAATTTGGAAGTTTGGGGTGAGGAGTCCACTACACCCCACACTGCACAGCACGTGTCCCAGTGGTGAGTGATGGCCACAGCAGGGCTCAAGGCACCCACAGCCTCAGAGACTGAGTGGACCCCAGCTTCTCCCCCTTCCTTCACTCTGCAGTTCCCCTCCTCTAGGTGAGCAGGCTCAAGCCCAGGTACTGGAGCTGAGTTACCAGTTAGGATTTCTGCCAGTTGGCAAAGGTGCCCCCGCCCTGTGCGCTGGAGTGGGGACTGTGGAGAGGCGGTGGGCTCAGCTTTGTTGGGGTAGCTGAGGCTCTAATTCAAACGGACGGACTGCCTTGGACCGGGGAGGCGGCAGCAATTGGGCAGAGGAAGTTGAGACGCGGTGTTGGTGAATGGAAATGGAATTGTGTCTGCGATCCTCGAGATTAATGGGTGGTTTAGCAGGTGTGGGCTGCCCTGGTGGCGTAATGGTTACCCTAGTTGGAAGCCACCAGCTGCTCAGCGGGAGAGACGGGGCTAGCTACTCCTGTAGTTACAGCCGCCACCTCACTGGGCTGGCTCCCCCTCTCCTGAACTTCTGAGGAGCCCACCCAAGGGAGGTGCAGGTCTTCCCTGTGTTTGGTGACTGGGGGTTCTTGGGAAAAACACTGGGTTGGTTCCTGCACAAACTAGCTGGCCAGAATCCAGGCAAGTGCCTGTTGAAGGAGAGGAAACCCTATGAAGGAGAAAGAGGCCATCTCAGTGGGGCCCCCAGACTCCCCATTGCTGTCCCTTCCACCATGACAGCCCCAAATGCCACTGGGGGCCAGCTGGAGGCTCTGGCCATGTGAGCTCCTGTGGGGGGGTGGTGTCCTGTGCCCTTGCTCCCTGACCTTTGGCATAGGGTCGGGTGTTGGCATTTTGTAGCCCCTCTCTGACCCAAGGACCAGTGGTTCCAGTGAGGGGTGGCATGGGTCGGAACACTGCAGGACCCATGGGTAGTTGACACAGGTACAGACCTTCGAGAACTTCACGAATCAGCGATGCCAAGCCCCAAAGCTAACTCCCTGCCAGCGTACTCAATGCGGACTGACCCTCTAAGAGGGTAGAACTGCCCTTGGGATTTCCAGACGGCAACTCTGTGGGGAGCAGAAAGCCACTTCCATGGAGCAGCTGGTGATTGTGAACTAAGCTTGTGGCTAAAACCCCCACGACACCAGGGCTCCTTGGGTTTGCAAAGGGGGGCCACTAAAGGAAGGGAAGAGGTTGGAGATCTGCAGGGCCCGCAGTTGGGAACCACCGGCTACTCCATGGGCGAAGATGTCTCAGAAACTCAGGGACAGTTCTACCCTGTCCTGTAGGGTCGCGATGCATGGGCCTCAGCTCGATGACGGTGACTGGCTTTATTCCTTCTGATAAAGAACAAGGGGATGGAGATAGGGAACCTGGTCCAAAGGCAGGAGCTGGAGCAGGTTAGGGCAGTCGGGCTTCCTCCCCCCTTCTCCACTTGGCGGTCTTGGAGGGAGCAGGCGTGTGAAGGGCCCACTGATGCGTGTGGGTGGTACTCGAGAATCCCGGACACCTTAAGGGCCACACACTGAAGGTGGATGCAGGGAGCCAGCTGGTATTGTAGGATGGGCAGTAGGCCAGCAGGTAGGGAGTGTCCAGGTCTGCTCCAGCCACCTGGTCAGCACAAGTGCCACCAAGATTCAGGAGAGGTGCTTGCCAATTAACAGCGACAGTAGGGTTGGTCAGTGAGGTACGTGTGTGCAGGATCTCAAACAGGGCTCGGTTCAAGGTCACTGTCCCCTCAAAGGCCTGTGAGAAGTGGCAGAGGCACTGCCTGCCGGCCACCTGGTCCCGAGTCTTCCTTCCCCAGGCTGTTTCTCCCCGCCCCCCAGCAAGTAGTCGGCGGTGAGAGCACAGCTGCAGCCACACACCATCCTGTGGTTGGAGTCACCTGGGTCTGGGCAGCCGTAGTGGCCGAATGTGGGCTGGTGATCCTTGCCAGGTGATGCAGGCTGGAGTCAAAACTGGGCTACTTAGTTGTCCTAGTATCTCAGCCCTTGGCCCTTCAGTATCTCAGCCGGTTGCCTTGACAGTTGAGTGGTTTCCCCACAGCCAGGGGCTGGCAAAACTCCAGCCCTGCTAGGCCACTACCTTGGAGCCTCTCCTAGCCCAAGGGTGTTTATACCCCTGTGCCAGGGGTGGAGGGGTAGGATCTCCAGTCAGACCCCTGGGGAGGAGCTCCGGGTAGGTGGACTGGGGAAAGTCTGTTCCTAGGGTGGCCTGAAGTGGAAGATGTGGGGACAGAGCCAGGCCTTTAACCCCAATCTTCAACCCCGCCTCCTGAGTTTGGCCGGGCAGCCTCATGTGTGGATAATGAAGTTGTTCACGGAGGACCTGGGGGCTGGTGCTCATCCACAAGGGCAGCTTGCAGGTGACTGGCTGACGCTGGGGCAGTTTCAGCACTCGGTCAGAAGTCTGGGCGAGTCCTTGGAACCAAGTGTGCAGTGAGGGGGGTTCAGATTTGCCAGCAGTGCAGGTGCGGGTAGGGAGTGGGGTGGGGGCAGGGAGAGGGCACAGCCTAGTTAGGCCTTTAGCCATTTTCTATCAGGCCAGGGCCTGTCCCACTCTGCCACTTCCTGGAGAGAGGAGGCTTGCTGCTCCTGGGTGGGGGCAGGAGGCGGGCCGGGGCACTGAGCTGGTTCCTTGGCAAGGCAGGCAACTGTGGGTCCCATCTCACCCTGTGTCCAGGGACTTTTTCATTTCTCTGCCCTGAGACTGAGGTTGAGCCTTCTTAACTGCTGCCTGGCACCTGGCCCTGCTCGGTGACTGGAAGGCCAGGGTCCACGTCAACAAGCCTGCATAGAGGTGGCGGCCCTGACACCACAGGAAAAGGAGAGAACTTCCTGGGAAACTGAAAGACACAGGAAAAGGCATTTCAGCCCCCAGTCCTTTCATCTGAGCCCCCAACCTTAGTGTTTTGGGAGGAGGGGACAAAATAAGAAGAAAAAAAAAAGTCCCAATTACAGCTATAATTCCTATTTACATCAAGTTCAGCTTCCCCAGCCTTCCAGTATAAGCCAAGCAGAGGAAAACAGACATGGGAGGTCTCTCGGAGCAAAGCCTGGTGGGGAGTCCTGGGGGGTTCCACACAGGATGGGGCTGGTCCTTGAAATGGGCCAGTCAGGCCGGCTGGCTGGACCGCAGCAGCTGGAGGTGTTTACAGACAATGTCTCCAAGCAAACAGCTCCCACACCCGCCTGACTGTTGAAGGTCATTAAGTGGAAAGACCCAGAAATTCCAAGAATGAACAGGTTCCTGACTAGAGTGGACAGGGGAGGGGCCTCTCGTGGTCTCTGCTGAGCAGCATGGCTCAGCCAGGCCTTTACTAAGATGACCAGATGTCCCGCTTTTGGTAGGACAGCCCGATTTTTAACTTTTCCCCACATCCCACGGCATTTTTAAAAAGTCCTGATTTTTGGAAAGAATGCACAAGCTAGGGTATACGGTTTTTGGCTGCCATGTGGCTTTTTCACCAGGATACGAGTTTTATCAATGGTGTCCGCTTTACCAATGTTAAAATCTGGTCACCGTACTTTACACCCAAGCAGTCTGCCTTATTACACAAGGATCCACTCGGTCACATCCAACCTGCCCCCGCCCCTGCCACTGAGAACTGAGGCAACGCTGACTCCTAGTGGGCCCCAGTGGGTTTCCCAGACTAGAGCAGAAAGCCTGGGGACTGCTGGTGGTTTCAAACTGCTGACCATGCAGATCACAGCCCATAGTACAGCCACTACACCACCAGGGCTTACCCACCACCTGATGTGGGACTGGTTGGCCCGCGTCCTGTCCTAGACAAAGGCAGCCTTGTCACTGGCCCGAATCACAGTGAGGCTCTGTCGCTACCCCCTGCCATCCCGACCCCTTCCCTAGCCCCAAGCAAGACCACCGAGGCAGCTTTTTCCTTTCAAATGCAGTTCCTTTCCAGCTTCACCTGTAATGAGCTTTGGTGCTGAGATTGGAGGGAGGGGGGCGGCGTGTGGGAAAAAGAAAGGGGCAAACAAACCAAAAGACCCCAGTGAATGGCACGCAGTCTTGTCCTGGGCAAGCCCAGGCTCCAGGGTGGTCGGGAAGCAGAGCTGTCCCCCCACCTGGAGGGCTCTGTGGTCCGGAGGCACGGGTGGGTGTGTGGGTGGGGCCAGTCACTGCCCAGGGAAAGCGAAGAGCTGGCTGGGCGAGGGAGGAGGCTGTGTCTGTGTGTGTACACGTGTGCATATAATAGGCTACGTTAGAAAATCCTCTCTGTATAAATATAAAACACCGGTATCCAAACAAGACACCAACAGTTAACTAAAGTGCTTGACAGGCGGGGATGGGCCGTGTGTGTGTGTCTGAGGAAAACTAACCCTGACTACCTTGGCGGCGCGGAGGGTGCTTGGAAAGCCAAGCCCTCCAGGCCTCGTGCGTGCCTGCTGGGAGGTGGAGGGAAGCCGGGGGCGGCACAGGGCTTTCTAATCAGCATGCTGGGCAGCGCCCCACCACCACCTCCCTGGCCTACCTTGCCCACCGTTTTTCTTTCTGTCCTTGAGACAACAGCATTGGAAAGCTGGCGGGGTGGAGGGTGGGGGGGCTGTTACATAGGTCTGCCCGCTGTGCCTGCCTGTCTGCCCTCAGAGCCCAGATGAGGGGCAATGCTTGTAAGCTGAGGAGGGCAGGGGAGGGTGGCTCTTCATCATAGTCAACGATTTGAAGACATAAACACCAGCCCTGCCTTCACTCCTCCTGGAGCTCCTGGTGGGCTCGCCTGCATCGGGGCTGGGGGAGGGAGGGCAGGCGGAAGCCTTTGGGGCAGCTGGCCCAGGAAGCTGCCATTTCTCTGTAAGCCTCAAGCAAGCATCGGCCCCTCCAACCACCCCAGCTGCACACCCTGCGCAACAAGGCTCCTTCTGGGTTCAGACCCACAGACGTGTCAACAGGCACTGGTCCCCGAGCTCTGGGGAGTAGAGAGGCCCCTCACTTCTGGACACAGTGCTACAAGAAGGGGTTGGTGGTTGGAGGTTTGGAGGCAAAGGGACTTGACGATGATCCAGTCTGGAGAGAGACAAGAAAAGGTGGTATTAGATTAAGGGAGGGGGAAAAGTCATGGGAGAAATGCAGTTCAAGATTCCCTCAGCATGCCTCTGCTGTGGGAAGTGGGGGTGGGCGATAAGAGGTCGCAGAGGGCAGGGGCTGTGGAGACGGCAGAGCCAGGAGGAGCTGGGCTTGGGAATGCTGAGACATCCATGGGGAAGGGCTGTGAGATCCAACCCACAAGCCCCTCTCTGCTCGGAAGGATTCTGTCCCCAGTACCCTGAAGGAAAGAACCCATACCCCCTCGGAACCTCCGCCCCTGCAGGGCGCTGCCGCCTCACCATGAAGGGGTTGGTGGAGATCCCGGCTGGCTGCCCTTGTAGCCTCTGCCCCAGCTTGGCCAGTCTTGCATCTCCGAGGGAAGAACCTGGCAGGGCCGAGCAATCAGTTGGTTGAAGTCATCCTGCCTCACAGGCTGGTGCTGGCCGACCCCACGCCACCTCTCTGCAGACCAAACCCAAGGCCACTCCCAGAGGCCCTACAGGCCAGAGGAGACCCCTGGGCACTCCTGAGACTGTAACCCTTTCTCCCAGGAGCGAGCTGCCCTACATTTGAGGGAGCAGGGCTTGTGCGCCAACAGTCACCACAGCGCTCTTCACGGTAGCCAGAGGGCAGAACGATGCAATTGCCAATGAGCAGATGACCAGAGCAGTAACCCCCTTGCCTGCCTGCAGTGGACGCTATTGGGCCACAGAGCTGGGAGGCCCGACCGTGCCCCTGGACGGGCGAACCTGCAGAACGCCATGTTGAGCAAAAGCAGCCAGTCCCAGCTGGCAAAGGCTGTCCTCTTACTGCGTGGAACAGGCAAGTGTCCAGAGACCACGTCTTAGTGCTTCCCAGGAGGGAGGGAGGGAGAGGTGCTGCTCAGGGGGCCCTGAGTTCATGTTCACGTGGTGGGACGATTTGGAAAAGGATATTGAAGATGACGGCACAACTTGAATGAAGCCAATGTCACCGAGTCTACATGTGGAACCCCCCCCCCCTCTCTCTCTCTCTCTCCCTCTCTCTCTCCCACCCCAGAGGGAAGTAGATGTCTTCCCTCCCGGACAGTCCCCTACTGGCCAACAAGGATGGAGGCCCTGAGGCGCCTGTGTATGCTGTGGGGGGAGGGCTGGGGCGGGCATGGGCGAGGTCTCACCGTTCTGCTGCTGAGCTATGGCGGGCTGCGAGGGAAACGTCGGGGGTGGGAAGGTGCCAGCGAAGACCCCAGTCGGAGGCACTGTCTGGGGGTAGCCAGGTCCTGGGGAATGAGGAACACAGGCCCAGCTCAACTTTTGCAAGGTGGGCTGGAGAACTGCTCACCAGTCAGGGTGTGGGCAGGTGGACCCCTGCACGCACCACTGGGTGGATAGGAGGGTCTGTGGCTTGGCCAATAGGAGGGAGGAGCTGTGGGCAGGGAGGCAGGACTAGGACCCTCCACCTGTCTGCAGGGGGCCTGGGCTGTCAATCTGACACTGACCAATTGTGTGACACCAGTCTAGTGACTGCATACAACCTCCGGAGGGGCCCTCTCCCTGCCTGCAGCACTCTGGACGCCGACAGCGCACTAGTCGGAAGCAGGGACCAGGCCCAGAGCAGGGCTCTGGTTTCCAAGCCCACGGACAGTCTGAACCGCCGCCCGGCTCCTCCCTCCCTGCAGCAGTGTGCTCCTTTGAGCCACTGTGAGTAGTGAGTGTGAAACACTTGGCACCATGCTGGGCACCTGGTCTCTCTTCCTGGCCGAAAGGTTTAAAACCAAACACACTTACTGCCATTGAGTTGATGTCAACTCAAAGTGGCCCAGTAGGACAGGGTAGAACTGTCCCTGTGGGTTTCCCAGACTGTCACTCCCTTTTTTTTTTTTTATCATTTTATTAGGGGCTCATACAACTCTTATCACAATCCATACACACATCAATTGTGTAAAGCGCATTTGTACATTCATTGCCCTCATCATTCTCAAAACATTTTCTCTCCACTTAAACCCCCGGCATTAGGTCCTCATTTTTCCCCTCCCTCCCCCTCTCCCCCTTTCCTCGTGAGCCCTTGATAGTTTATAAATTGTTATTTTGTGACTGTCACTTTTTATAGGAGTAGAAAGCCCTGTCTTTCTCCTGAGGAGCCGCTGGTGGTTTCCAACTGCTGAATTTGCAGTCAGCAGCCCAATGCGTAACCACGACGCCACCAGGGCTCCCAAAGGTGTAGGGGAGGCTAAGGTTAGGGGGGCGCGAGCTGGAGGAAAGCAAAGCAAGGCTGGGCTCCTGGGGGCCCATTGTGGACCACTGCTACGAACAGTCAACAGAAGACAGCCAGCCCCCCCCCACACCCCCAATGCTGGCTCAGGTCAGCAAATGAACCGGCTGCTGTCACGTGGATTCCAGGTCAGTCACCTGACGGAAACCCCGGCCATCAAGTTGATTCTGCCTCAGTGACCTGATACGGGATTTCCCTGCTGTAAATCCTTATGGGAGCTAATAGCTTCAACCTTCTATCGTGACCTTGAAGCCAGCAGTCCAACCTTCGCCGACCCCGGGGCTTCCTACCCAAACCAGACTCACTGCCACTGAGCCAATGCCAACTCCTAGCGACCCCGTGGGGCAGGGCAGAACTGCCCCCGTGAGGCGGCAAGACTGTCACTGTTTACGGAGAAAGTCCCATCTTTCTTTCCCAGGGCTCCTTAGCTGTGTTTGTGGCCCCCCAACCCCAAAATTCTCCCTCTGTGTGTCTTGGGTGTTCTACTTCTGCCCTTTAGGTGGCCTGGGGCGTTCAGTGGGTCTGGCTGGTGAAAAGTGGGCCAGGGCAGGCCACCTGCCCAGGGGGAGGAGCAGTAAATTTGTGACCTGGAGTCTTACCTGCAGCCAAGCCATTGGGCTGGAAGGGGTTGGTGGGAAGCAGCTGGGGGTGAGCAGCAGGTGCCATGAAGGGGTTGGTGAAGGCTGGGGCAGGAGAGAGAGATCATTGTTTTTCACCTGCTTGGTGTCCCCCTGAATCTCAGTGGGCCTCCCTCTCCAGCCCCCATCCACCCAGAATCCTCAACTGCCTCCTGGCCACGGATCCTGTCTCTGGGTCTCCACGGATAGGACTCACCTCCGAAGGCAAATCCTACGCCGCTCCTGCCAGCTGGGGCTGACTGGAGTGCGGGGACAGGGCCAGCCATCCCGAAGATGCTGCAGTGTGGAGAAGGAGACCGGGGCTGAGCAGTGGATGGCGAGAGGCCCACTCTGTTCCTGAGGGGCGGCCTTCACAAGGATGAGAAATCGGAGGCACTGCCCTCCCCCTGCTGACCAGCCTACCTGTTAGAGATCCCTCCAGTGGAGCCCGCGGGACCCAGGATGCTGCCCACATCTGTGAGGCTGTTAGGCTGGCTGGCAGGCCCAAGAGGAGAGATGCCAAATGGGGTCCCCTGGCTGCTCCCTGAACAGTCACAGAAAACAGAGCCAGTTATGCCAGGAGCAGGGGAGACATGGGGGTGGGTGATGGCCTGATTAGGCCTGACCCGGTCCCCCCTGAGCCGGTCCAGTTTTTCTATGGGTCCCTGTGTGGGAGTCTGACAATGGCCCAGGGAGCAAGAGTCAGGGAAACTCTTAAGCAGTCCCTGTGATTTTGAGAAAGGCACTCCATCTGTCTGTCCAAGTCACATGCGTGCAACAGGACCCTCCGTCTACCTGTGACGTGAAAGGAAGCCACCCGAGGGAAGCAGCAGCTTCGTTTAGGGGTGTGCTGGGAGAGCGGATTGCTGAAGAGAGGGAAACCCTGTCTGCGGGCTGACAGACCCCAGGGCCTCCATAACTGTCTGTGGGGCACATGCTGACCATGTAGGTCAGCAGACTGATTCTGGCGGGGGCTCCACCACTTAGCTGCCCCGGTGACTTTGCCACATTTCCTCGCTGTTTCTCTTGTCACCCCGCAGGGTGGCTGTCAAGACCCCGTGAGAGAAGCGAGAGCGTTCACACAGGTGTGGAGTGCCATCACACTGCTGGTCAGAGAGGCTGCGTCCCAACGGAATTCAGATGTGACAGCAGATGGGCCCAAACCCTCCAAAAAGTAGACACAGAGGAGTGCCCTGGGGAGGGGGCTACGTCTCAGGGAAGGGCAAGGACCAGGGCAAGGCAGAGAAGCAGCAGGAGAGGAAGGGGGAGGACACAAAGCCAGGCTTCCTCTCAACACTTCCCGCTCCTCTGCCCCGAGAAAGCACGGCTCGCTTTCTTGTTGGGAAAGGTTTGTCTGGTTTTTGCCCGGCCAAGGCCTCAGAACTATCATGCGGATCTTCACATGCTTCCTTTTCTAAGGGCTTGGGGGATCAAACAACAATTAAAAACCAAAAATGCCCATGAACCCATTGCACTTAAGTCTATTGTAACTGACTTGTCGCTATCCTCCAGGACTGAGGAGAACAGCCCCATCGGGTTTCCAGAGCTGACGGCCACACCGCGCACCCAGGAAGCACCCATGGTCTCAAGGGCCCACCTTCGGACGGCAGCTCGCACTTACTCAGGCCTCCCTAGGCAGTAAGCAGTACTCTCCACAATCACACCAGGGCATCACCCACGTGCTGGGCATGAGACATCCGCATACGACTCAGGCTCAAACCGAGAGGAGACCAAGTGCGAGTAGCTGGTCCTCTGGTGTACTGCCGTCTCTAACACGCCAGGAAGTGCTGGTTTGGAGCGCCCTCCCTCCTAGGCAAGGAAGCTGTGGTGCACACTAGCTCTTTCATCCCCTCCAGCCCAAAGGAGGGTCTTCTACTGACTGACTCTCCAGGCCTCAGGCCTCTTCCTGGACTGTGGAATTTCTGAGCTTACGTCCCTCGGGGCCTTCGCGTTCAAGGAGCTATCTGCAGCGAGGACCCAAGGGCCTCAACCAGACGGACTGCAGGCTGTGCTGTGCCTCTTTGTGGGCACTAGGGGGCAGAGCTGGTCCTGACCTGTGCAGTCTCAGCTGATGCTGGCCACCAGGGTGCATGCTGGTGGGCTTTGGGTCCTTGTCCTCACTCCATGCTGCTGAATGTGTCCGCGTGTCTTAGAATGGGCTCAGGAGACAGTGCTGTTTGAGAAATTTCCCCTCTCCTGACTCCCGCCTCTCACCAAAATCTCCCTCCTAACTTCATACCCAGCCGTCCTTGTGATCACGGTGTGGTCCAAGTGAATTGAAGTTGCTGTTTATCTGACATCAAGTCACTGGCCCACTTGGGCCGGTTTCAACTGCTGAGCCGAAATCTTACTTTTTTGCGAGAGAATGTGCCAACGTTTCTAGCAGTGGGACGGTGCTAGCACAGGGCAGAGCCTCATACATTTTGGCTGATGCTGGACTTAGTCTGATTTTTGTTTGTTTTTGAGATGGCCACCCATGGGGCTAAGGGTTCAGTGCGTGGGGTGCCTGAGGACTGAGCCTGCCTGCCTT